CCCCAACCTTCCCTGGTGTTTTAAGGCTTGCAATGGCCCTGCTATGATAAAGATCTAGTTATTTAAATTTAAAACTGAATTCCATAAAAATCACAATATGTCCTAGGTTCTTCAAATTCATCGTGTAAACAGACAGCTGATAGGGTTGTCAGTGTGTGTGAAGGCATCATCAAGTCACTTGTTCCTTTAGCCTACCGGAAAGACAACATACTAATAAGACTAGTGGCAGAGATCATTGGATTCTTTTGCTCTGTGGGTGAGTTATTTCCACTACCCTTCTTATTATTCTTGTGGTGGTGGGGAGGGTGGCATAGTATAAAAAAGCTTGTCATTGCTAATCAACACCACAAAGTACAGCATTGGCGCAGCTTAATGGGGTCGGACTGATAGCGTGTGAAGGTGCCTCTGGCAGCCGCTATACAGTCCATGTATGACCCCGGAGCACAGCTCTAACCAGATTGAATTAGTTAGGGTTGATTTGAGAGGAGGGAGAAAAACCAGAAGGCTAGAAAAACCTTTGGAGTCAGAAAGAGAACCAACTTTGATCAGCCCAGAGGCTGTTGCAGGGTATTGATAACATTTGTAGTTTGGGCCCCTCTTATACAGGAATTTCAGGTTTTTGCTTTCGTTTATCAAAGCAAAAAATATAGTAATAATAAAACTGCATTAGTAATGAGATTTGATTCATGTAAACCCAAAACCCAGAGTTATGTTTTATGAACACTTTATGGCACTTTTAGACTGCCTGCATTGGTTATCCTTAGCAAATGAGGTGTTTTAATGTAATAATAATAATATTCGTGATAGATTTTCCTTCAGAGACACTTCAGGATCACCTGATAAATGATGGTGCCCTGGAAGCAGTCCTGTCATTCCTACAGTCCAACGACTCTGACCTCCAGTACTGGTCTTCAGCCTTGCTCCTTAACCTGTCTATGACCTCYGATAGTGTCAAGGAAGAGATCATTCGGTTAGGAGGGATTAAACCTCTAATTGAGCTGGCTATTGGTGACAGTGAACAGCAAGCTGTAGCAGCACAGTCTGCAAAGACCCTTGTCATGCTTGGTTTTGTAGGTAAGGGTTTTGAGTCTCAAGTATTATCATAACTTTGAGAAATAGTGTTTGATAGCTTGTAATAGGACACTTGCATTATGGCATCATTTACTACCACTATCAGAATCCTTTGAAAACTTTTGTTCAGTTGTTAATTAGCAGCAATTGTCTTACTATTCTCATGAGGCAATACAAATTTGAATAAGACAGTAAATTGGTTACTAATTTTGGTAGTGGTAGTAAAATGATGCCATCATGCAAATCAGCAATTTTAATCTTAATTGGTCAGTCTGCTCAGTCTGTTTGTTAGCTCTTCTAGTGGGAGGGAATTGGGATGGGAATGGGAAGAGCGAAGGCAAGAATGGGTAGCATGGGTGGCATTCGCACCTGACGCGTCGTCTTTCACCGCTGTGAGTCCAACGGGTCGGGTCGCTGGTTTGAGCCCTGCGATCGTCACATGTGAATTGAGTTTGTTTCATGTGTTGTTCTCTACTATGCTACGAGGGTTTTCTCCGGGTTCTCCGGATTCCTCCCTCCGTAAAAATCAACATGTGAGTTGAGCGTCGTGTGCRTAGAACATTGAATGTAGTGGTAGTGTGTGTGAGTGAAAAGTGTACCCAATTAGTGCGAAAGCGCTAGAAAGACTAGACACTTAAAGTGCGTATCACCCTTCTGACAATATTTTCAGTATTGATTCTACATGGGGTAAGATGTTGAATAACCTGAAAAATAATTCATAGTTTGAGTGCAGCTTCTTGTAGTTATGAAGGTTTTTCCATGCCATATGCTAATGCAGTGACGTATGAGGAGGCATTTATGGTTTATTTGTTGTTCCTTGTAATTCGAAACACCGGCTTCTATGTGAAAAATAGCTTGCAATAATTTCTATAAGAGCAATGGGCAAAACAATGACGTATTTCAAATTTAATTTATCTGTGCCAGTAAGGTTTTGTATATTAAATGATTACTCCTCATACGTCACAACATTAGCATATGGCATGGAAAAACCTTTATAACTTCAAGAAGCCGCACTCAAACTATGAAATTTTTTCGGGCTTTTCCACATCTTACCCCATGTAGAATCAATACTGTGAATATTGTCAGAAGGGTGATAGGCACTTTAAATAAAGGTATTTATCTATTTTATTTTATTTTTAATGCCCTCAAACTTCTCTCCACTCTACGAACTATTCAAACCATTTAGTACTCTTTTATAAACGTCCACTTTTGATAGCAACATTTTTGTTTTTGCAGACAAGCAAGTAACTGTAACCCTCAAAGCAGCCTGTCCTCGCCATGGAGACTACTCCAGTATTGTATTCGATGGCAAAGAGTATTGTGCCAACGAATGTGGGATAAACATCTGCGTCTTAGACTTCCTGACTTACAAGATTACTGACGTGTTGTCATACGACACTGRCCATGACCGGTCAGCAGCTAGTAAACTTGTAGAGGGCATTTCTTCTATTCCATGTGGGACTCTAGTCTTTGTTGCAGTAAAGGGAGAAGCTAATTACTTCATGACGGGTAGGCTTTCTAGATGTTCTGCATGCACCCCCCTGTTTTCCCTTGATCACGTTTTGATGTTTCCATTGGTTAATTTGGCACCGACCGAGGAATAACACGTAGCAGGTGTCTAATATCCCCGGAGGAGGGGTGTGGGGAGTGACATACCCTTGCTTTGGAAACCATAGTAAACACCAAACAGTGACAATTGGAACAAAAGACTGCTAATTATCCGTTAATTATTTATTCATTATTTATCGGGGGGAGGGGGCGGGGAGGAAAAAGCAAACATGCATTCTTTTACTACAACCCCTCATTAATATAATCAATTTTCTTGGAGCCCCCTGTTTATTTCCAACAATCTTAAGGCTTTACTATGTTTAACTCTGTCATTAATTATTTCAAAAGCACCTTAGGCCCCGTCCACGCTATGCCGGATAAATTTGAATCCGAATTTCTATTTATTCGGTTCCATTTCGAAAATTCGTTTTCGGTGAAGAATTGTTCCGGATTCGCCCGGACTAGTGTGGACGGTAGGCCTAACCGAATAAATAAAAATTCGGATTCAAATTTATCCGGCATAGTGTGGACGGGACCTTAGCCAGGTTCAGTAATTTCAAGGCCCCCATTTCTCACCCACTACACTCCAATGAATAATGGACAGTTTGGGTTAAGTAAATGACCACGTGTCGTTCATATTTCCCAATGCAATCCTTTTTGCAGATGAAGCGATGGAGGCCTTGAAGGAAATTGGAATCGAAGAATACAGTTTCAGAACCGGTGAACTATGGGCATATGTTGGGCAGAAGAGAAAAGGTCAGGGCCAACAGATCGCCATTCATCGTAACTATGAAAGCGTTCTCTTGGAAACTGGAATATGTCTTGGTAAGAGTGCATTTCATTGTATCTTTTTATCTAAAAAAAATATATTAAGCTTTAGCTGTTGTATCACAGCGTGGGACAATCAAATCAGAGCTAAGCTCCAATTAGGTGAAAGCCCAAGGATCGAATTAGAATTTAGTAGTTGATTTTTGAGGAGGGAGAAAACCGGAGAACCTGGAGAAAAACCCTCGAAGCACAGGAGAGAACCAACCAACAACTCTACTCACATACAACATTGAGATCGGCAAGACTCGAACTCGGGCCGCATTGATGAGAGGCAGCGCATTAGCAGCACACGCCACCCGTGCTTTATAGAATAAAGGTTGGTGTAGCGGTAGTTCGTGTCCTCTGAGGCCCTGGAATGGGTTTCTCAGGCTTCGGCTTCACGTGAGCAAGTGTGTTGGGTTTCTCCCTTGATTCGAGGAGTTTTCTCCGGATTCTCAAGCTAAACTCTTCCCTCAAAATTACCTTATAGGGGTAAAAATATTATCTTAAAAATGGTTTTGGATATGACATTAGGTACTCCAGCAAACGTTCTAGCTTTAAACAAGGGAAGGCGGATTTTTTTTGTCACCCATTAAAAGTCAAATGTTGATTTGGTTGCTGCATACATCATGGTGCCCGTAATAAGCCTTTTTCATAGTTTAAGAATCGATTCCACTGCGCATGCGATTTTATCCCCAATTTCTCACCTTTTTTAGACAAAGGAAGGTGAGAAATTGGGGATAAAATCGCATGCGCAGTGGAATCGATTCTTAAACTATGAAAAGGCTTATTGCCTCGACGTTCTTCTTCTTACAGGACGATACGTGAACGAATTGATGCAGAATAATATCTTGCTACCAGTGATGGATCTAATGATGAGTACGCCACCATCTAGTGCCATTAGTAAAGTATCTGAACTAGAACTGCTTACGATCATGGCCAGGCACGATGACCATAAACAAGGTAAGCTGTATAAAAAAGCTTCCAAAGTCACTAAGAGACCGGAAAAGTTTTTTTGTAGATACGTATCATTGAGGAGTTGACGATCGTCAAAACAAGAACATGCAAACAAACAAGCAACAACAACTACAAAAACAACTAAACAACCAAACAAAACAAGAAACAACCAAACAAAACAAAACAAAATAAAAATTTAAAAAATAAAAAAACATAACAAAAAAAAAATTTCCAAA